TCCTTCAGTTCTTTTAATATCGTCGTTCCAACGCATTTGCGGTCTTCCTCGTGGTCTTTGGACTTCATTGGTCGCCAATTCCCGATTTCTTTATTCTATCGGCTATCCTTAAGACGTTCGTTATGTCCAGCCCATTTCCATTTCAGTTTAGCTACTCGTAGACGGCATCTTTTGCTTTTGTTCTATTACGAACGTTTTCTTAGGTTTTATGATATTTTAGTGATATACCCAACATCTGCCGTTCCATAGCTCTCTGAGTTTTTCTGATCTTCTTCACGTTTATTTTAGTGATTATCCAGGTCTGAACTCCATATTTAAGTACAGGTAGGATACAGGAATTCAACACTTTGGTTCGCAGTCTTTGATCCCATTTTTACATGTCTCCTCATCCCATTTTTACATATCTACTTATTTCGACAGTCTGATTTTCTTTGCTTACCTTGACATTTTAAACCAGATATGTATACTTATCTACGTATTCTATCTATATCCCTTGGATGTTTATCATAGGTTTATCATCTTTGTTTGAAATTAGTTTAGTTTTGCTGAAATTAATGTCCAGTCCTTTTTTAGGGATTCTGTGTGTAACTCCTCAATCATCGTATTCAGTGCATTCCACGTGTCGGCTATTAGTACTACATCATCCGCGTATCTAAGACGGTTCAAGTATCTTCCGTTAATATTAATTATCTTATTTTCCCAGTCTATTGACTTAAAGATATCTTCTAGGGCAACTGTAAATGATTTTGGAGATATTGTGTCTCCTTTTCTTACGCCTCGGTTGATTTTTTCTGGTCTTGTTTCGATTCCATTACCCAACGTCACTATCATTTCAGCTTGTTCGTAAATATTATTTATTATTATCCTGTACCTAAAGTCAATCAGTTTGTTGACTAATGCTTCTTCTATTGCTCACAGTTCTTCGCTATCAAAAGCTTTTTCGTAATATATAAAAGCCAGATATAATGAGAGATTGTATTCGGTAATCTTCTCTATTAGTATTTTTAAAGTATATAAATGGTCACAGGTGCTGTATCCTTTTCTAAATTCCGCTTGTTCTACTGGTTGATATCTGTCAAATTTAATTGTTAACTTATTTGTAATAATTCTTGTAAAGGTTTTATAAAGTCGTGAAGGGAGTGAAATTGGTCGATATTTTTTCAAGTCTGTGGTGTATCCCTTTTTGGGTGTTAGTATTGTTTGTGTATAATTGTCACATACGGCTCCGAAACCTGGACACTCACTAAAAGAGAGAAAACGTTGTTAGCCACCTTTGAAAGAAAAATCTTGAGACACATATATAAGGGCACAAAAGAAAACGGAATATGGCGAAGAAGATACAACTTTGAACTATACAAAATATACCAGGATCCGGATATTATAACATTCATTAAAATAGGACGGCTGAGTTGGATAGGACATGTAGAAAGTATGGAAGAAGGTGAAATACCAAACAAAATATTCAAACAGTAGACATTAGGAAAAAGGACCAGAAGAAGACCGAAGCTGAGATACTTAGAACAAATAGAAAATGATATAACAACCTTAAAAATAAAAAACTGGAGAAAAAAAGGACGAAACAGATCAGAATGGAGAAGATTCCTGTAACATACCAAGACAAAAAAAGGATTGTCGAGCCAGTGATAATGATGATGATTGTTTTAGCAGTATTCCATTGTTCAGTTATTTATTAAATGGTATTTTTAGATATGTGATGGCTTCTCCGCCTTCCTTCAGCGTTTCTACTAGGATTCTATCGCTTCCAGGAGCTTTATTCCTTTTTATTTCTTTTACTGCTCTTTCTATTTCTTCGTGGCTTATGTTGAGCATCACTTCTGAGTTGATATTTGTTATCTGCCTTTTTAAGTTCTGCTTTGAGGAGTTAGGGAGATCGTTTCTGGAATCGGCGTTGAACTTTTCAATTGAGTTTGCTATATCAGATTTACTTTTTTCTGGTTGTCCTTGTTAATTTTTAATGAAAATTATTTATTTATTTAGCGTATGGACTTTCACAGTACGATAAATATACAAATACAATTACAATAATATACACATATATATTATATATATATTATTCAAACACTAAAAATAGTAAAAATAGAATGAATAGAATGAATGACACTAAATATTAATGTCCAATTTACATAGCCATTCAATTGCTTCTGGGGAACATTCCGCAAAGTCCTGGAGGTTTCCACGGTAGGCACGATTCAAGCAGTCTGAAACACAATGGCTTATGGTCTGTCTAGATTCTCCGCAATCGCACTGTGGACTTTCTGCACGACCCCACCTGAACAGCGAATCAGCACATTTACCATGTCCGGTACGTATACGATTAAGCCTTGCCAAATGGACCGGGGCAGATTTGATCCGATGAAACCCTGAGTTGGGGTGGATATCTTAATATAGTCCGATTCTACTGTTGGCATCCATCTTGTTGTCCATTGCCTATGTATATCATAGGAATTACCAATTTTTCGGGCAGATCGTATTGGAGGATTTCTAGATCTCAATCGTTGGTGCTCTTTTGAGATGTCTGGGATATCTTGATGTATTGGTAATTGTACGTTGGCTACAATTTTCTGGTACTCTCTCACTAATGCTGCTGTACGACGTAGATCTGGTGGAGCAATATTGCTCAGAGTAGGCAGCCATTTTACTGGCGTTGATTTTATTGTTCCAGTGATTATTCTCATGGTTTGGTTAAGTTGGACATCGATTTTGCTTGTATGTGCACTATTTAGCCATACTGGTGCACAATATTCTGCCACTGAAAAAACCAAAGCTAGAGCAGAGGTAAATAAATAAAAATGAAAATTATGTTTTTTTCCCTAGTTTCGGTTTGGTACATTTGAGATTTCGGTTTTTCTCTGTGACTTGTTCTATACGGACTTATTTTGTTTTAATATTTTTAAGTTTATCTAGATTTAATACTTTCGCGAGTTTTAACTTGCTTTTTATATTGTTTTATATTAGATTTTAGTTTATCTGTGTCTATATTCCAAGTTTTTCTAAATTCATTCCTATTTTCATTATATTTTATTTCTATTTTGGCTCTAACCATTCGGTGATCGCTACTTATTGACGCCGTATTTATTACTGTTACGTCCTGTATGATATCTGTTTTGTTACACACTATGTAATCTATTTCGTTCCGAGTTTTTCCGTCTGGGGATAGCCACGTCCACTTTCTTTGAGGATTTTTCTTATAGAATGTGTTTATTGCCTAGTATTTGTGGAACTCCAGAGCAGAATTGTCCTATATAGTTTTTGTTTTGTCAAGTCGTTGTCCGATCTTAGCATGGGAGTTTCCAATTATCATCGTATACGTGCTGTGATAATTCGTGCTAGTTTCTGCAATTTTCTCACAAAATTCGTCTATGTCTTCATCAGGATGTGCTGCGGTTGGAGCGTATACTTGAATAATTTTCAGGGAAATGTTCTTGTTTACATTTAATCTAATCATTGCAATTCTTTCAGATATTCCTACGAATTACTACAGTATGTGTTCCAGATAGTCTTTCTTTCTTTCTTTCTACCCTTCCTTTTACCCTATCACGGTGTGGGATTTGGGCTAGCTATTTTAATTTCTATTTAGCCACCTCTTCCATTCTTTTCTGTTTCCTGCCATTATTTTCAATTCCTCTAGTGATTTTTGTTTAAGTTCCCGCCTCTACTACTAGCTGTATCCATTTTTTTTTTGGTCTGCCTCTTTTTCTTTTCCGATGTTTTTTGCTTCATAAACTTTTCTTGTTATTCTATTGGATTGCATCCTCATCAGATGCCCATACCAGTATATTTGCCTCTTTGCTATTTTGTTCAATATCGGTTCCTGGTTGGCCATTCTCCTAATAGTCTCGTTGCTTAATATAGTCACATATTTTAGTATAGTTTTCTATATTGTCTTTAGTTGACTCTAAATTGCAATTACCAAAATTCTTGTCCAGAATGCAGCAATGTATTATAATCAACATGAACACAACGATTAGTGAAATACCTACAAAAATATTTTACTGTAGTGTATCAGCTTATTTTTAGATTTTTTAATTATTAGGAAGATTGTAGCAGTATCTTTGTTTCTACTGTTTAAGGTGATATCCATTTACATTTTTTTTTATTTTTGTATTATTTTGTATTATTTAATATTTTTATGTACTATGCATTCCATGCATTCATAAAAATATATTATAGTTCTATTTATCTTGTAACGTTGATTTTTATGTGGTGTACAATGTACATCACGCGTGTAGCTGCGTTACGCTTAAAGCCGGGTGTAGCTAAAGGTTAAATAAAAAACATAAACAACAGGTGGCGTATTAGATACAAATATGAAGTATATATAATAATATGTGGGGTAAGAGACATATTGAAATACCAAGAAAGTCATAAGAGGATGAATGAATGAGGACGCAAAATATCTCCCGTGGTAGTCGAACGTGAAGGAAAATTACTAGAGGAGGTAACTAAGGAAGAGGAAGGTTGGGAAGGTTGGGAAATTAGAGTAAAGAGCTATAGGATTATTGTTTTGTACACAAAAGATCTTGTTAGGTTGAGTTGAAGAAGAGCTTAATAGCCTATAAAAGCTGACTATAATATATAGTCTAACCTTTATTTAGTAATCTTTGAATTTTGTTTCGCTTATTCGTACTTCAGAACTACTACTATTTTTGTTTTCTTCTAGGCACACAATCAACTGTTAGAATTGTTTTTCATAAAATTATGTGTTATATTAAAAATGCAAAAAATCTTCGATTTTCTATACTAAACATTGATATCGAACAAGAAGGTAATACGTAATATCTTTTATTCTTGGTAAACTCTATTAATACGTGTGATATAAAACACTGTAAAGATTATAGGGGACCAATCGTGGTACGCATTAAAAAATCAACATTTACAATTTAACAATAGTACTTAGTTTTTGTAAAGTATTTGACGTTTTTTGTTTAATTTAAGATTAGAAATCTTTAGTATATAAGGTTAATGTCAAGGTAGAAAAAATTAAAGTTAATTTGTGAATGTAGCAGGTGAGACCAATGGTACCACCGTTTGTGTCTGTAAATAACTATACGATCTTTTTTATATTGCAGGGATATAGATTGGAGCAATGTGGGGAAAATTGGTTTTTATTCTAGTTGCTACCCAGCTATCCTCTGAAATTGTATCAGCCGCTACATGTAAGTTTATTTATCGCCCTATTTATTACTGATCCACTACTTTTTTTATTTAATATCTTGTTAGAAGTGTTATTTTAAAAAGTAAAATATATTTCTATTGGTTTTGTAACAAATTTCCTAAATAGCAACTAAAAATACTATCAACATTTATGTTTCAACCATTTTAATTTTACTATTTTTTTTGAAAAATATATGTTTTTATATACATAATAATAATATACTCTATTTACTAAAACATCTAGTATATATAATAATTATTTTGAGTTATGTTTTGACTTAATGAGACCCATATGAGTTAAGACCCATACATCTGTTGTCAGTTTGACCTATACTTTAGAAGTGTGTACAAGTCATACACTCCTTTTAGTATACTAATTTTAATTTTAAAGTAAAGAATTATTCACATTAAGTTTATCAACAAGATAAAGCTGCATATCTTAAATTGAACTTATTTTTAGTATTTTATAATTTTTCTTCTCATTCTTCTGTCTTCTTAATAAACAATTCTGACTATTTCTGTTTGCTTGGGTTGTGCCTTCAGATTATATAGCCACTCCATCTTTTCCGGAGTCGGCACACACATCTTGATTATTTTATCGTCTGTCATTGTGCTTTCGAAAGTTACAATATTTCGATCATGTAAATAAATTGCTTTTATAGATTTGTTAGGTACCAAGTTTGACATATTTGTGGTTCTATTTTAGTTTATTTCCAAAACTAGTCCTTAACATGAGGTTTCAAGTATGTTTGTACTCTTAAGTTGAAAGTGATAGTTATCTCAGATTAGAAAAGTACTCTCAGGGACGTGCAAATGGTTTAATTTTCTCTTTTGATGTTTATTCCTAGGTTATTCTAGTAGAATGATTAAAAGTATGTTCCAGGATGACTACGGACAATGAATATTAACGGTGATATAATGTTGCCTGACGTTTTTTTTCCTTCAAGAGATCTATTTAGCAAAAAAAATACGCTACATAAAAAGAGAATTTAAAACTAGAACTTGGACGGCTGAAGACCACATAGGAATCCTAAGAACTAACAGAAAAGTCCTGGAGATTATATTGCCGGGATCTACATAAAGATGATCAAAGCCAGGAACTTGTTTACTAAACCTTTAGAGAAATCGAAGAAAAACCTAATATACTCGAGAATAAAATATGACTGGCGATCAGTAAACTCACATATAACAAAGCACTAGGTCCAGATATAATAACAGCAGAAATGCTCAAAGCCACAGAAAAAAAAAAACGGAATAAAATTGCTTCATTTACTTTGTAACAAACGTATAATATACCTTACGTTGACCACTACCCTCATTCCGGTGGTCAGGACTGAAAAGAGGGATAGAGAGTACGTATGGAGTCTTCTGGTCTTCTGAGGCAAGTCACTCGCTTATAAAACGGATTGCCAACATTTTCGCACCAAATTTAAGTATTTCTGAATAAGATCAATAATAATTACACATAAACAAATTTTCATAAAATTTAAAATAATCCCGATTAATACAAGTCTTTAAAAGTCGAATAATTTAGTATGTTTTCACTTTCATTTATTTTCAACTGTATTTATATGATCATAAATTTTTGCGTAATCTACAAAACATACTAATTAATAAAGAAAGTTAATACAATTCCTTGAACCTTCTGATAATATTGTCCCAAATATAAATTAAATTTGAACAAGATAAGGTGTCAAAGTCAGGGATTTAACCATTTCATATGTACAATAACGAGTAAACAAAGCGAATATAACATCAAAGCAATGTGTAAATTTATAAAGTTTTTATAAGTAGTATAAAGTATTTATAAAGTATCAAATAAAACATTGTTTTGGAAACAAACGACTTTAGAGTAAAATACTGAACTACGTCGTTAGGAATTTCTAAATGAGTCTAAATCATTGCATTTCTAGTGCAATGATTTCGAAAGATCTAATTTCTTCTTAGGGTGGCCGCACACAGAAAGAGCAAAACTGTTTTAGACAAAAACGTTTTTGACTAAACGAGTCTGATGCTGATGTTTCCTTATAAATGAAATGAGGTGACGCACACTGATTAGTCGTGTGTCTAAAGCATGTTTAAGCTCATTTAGTTTCAGTCAGTCTGTTTGATGTTGATTACTGGATCGTCGTTTTGTATCAAAACATTTCAATGTACGCAGGCTCAACGTGTTTTTGGAATTCCCTTATTGAAACCGCTCGAGTAGTGAACAAGTATTCTTTTATTTTGCGTTTTTTCGTCCTGTAGGAGGAACAACTGTCAGAAAACTAGTGCAATTTCGTTGTTATCTGTCAACATCTTTAATAAAGCTGATTGCAGTATGGTTTGTGAAAATATTTTGTTTCTCTTGAAAACAAAATGTTTCTTGTGGAACAAAAACGTTTTACGTTTCAAACAAAAACGTTTTTGACTAAAACAGTTTTGCTCTTTCTGTGTGCGGCCACCTTTAGGCACCTTTAAATCTAGAAACAAATAAAGCATAAATTCGTTTTGTGTGAAACACAGTTGAATATCCGTAACTAAATGTATGGGAGTATCAATGGTATCTCGACCTCTACGAAATCAATACTGTGAGTAGGAAAAAACTGATCTTCTTTCAATAGGATGTTCTAATCTACAAATATTCTATAATTTCTAATTCAAGATTGTTGCGACAAAAACTTTGTTCCCTTATATGATGAAAATATTTTAAAATTAAATTAAGACAAATGTTACGTGTTTCAATTGGTAGACGGCAAAATTAAAAGAAATGTTGACTAAAATTTCTGCTGTGACGAGCACGAAGAAGCCGACACAAAAATAGTATATGACATTTGTCAATTTAATAGAAACTGCAATGTCACTGTTCATTGCACGGATTTAGGTGTACCCGTAATAATGTTGGCAAACATGAAGTTCTTAAAAGCAGAAAAACATGTTACAATATTGAGGTGAGCACCAGCAAACAGCCAAAATATAGTTTATAAAAATGTTGCACATGACTTCTGCTTAGTTTTAACAGTTTGCCACTTTTTAAAGGGAACGACTACAATCCTTTATAAAACTTGTTAATTTATCACTGGCACATCTGAATAAAGAGAACCCTGGATATATTCCCTAAAGGCTCAAGATAATCTAAATCTAGGCAGATTCGAAGTTTTTGAAAAAAAAAAATATAAAATTAGGAATTCCAATGAGAAAGTTTCTAAAACATCATTCAAAAGCTTCGACTCTACAAGTTTACCTCAGACCAAACAAACTTTAAATAACACATAAAAAAAACAACTTAGTCTATTAATATATGGTGTAATGCTCACCTAAGACAGCCTATAACTTTAGAACCTAGTGACTCTGGTTTAGTAATGCAACATCGGTAAAAAACATCGATGTTAAGAATCGATGGTAACATCGAACTTGAACATCGATAGTAACGATATGTCAACAGGAAATACGCTGAGAGATCGAAAGAGAAGTGAAGACATTAGAAAAAGATGTAACGTACAGGGTATAAATGATAGACACAAAATAGAAAAAAAGAATGGAATAATTTATAGAATTGGGGAGATCTGTGTCGTCAAAATAGTAAGAGGTAGGTCACCAATCGGCAGAACAAGTATCGGACAACCGGCAAAAGGAGTAACAACCTTCCATAGAGGTATTAATCCGCCAATGAACAAGCAGAATTGCTTATAAAGAGAAATAAGCAGATTATATAAACGTGATTTAATTGCTGAAAACCTTGGTGTAACTGTGTAAACTTAACCTAGTATTAAACAATTAAAATTATCCCTTGACAGTTATCTTACACACCAAATTATTCAAAAAGCCCCAATAATGCTTATCTATATCTTGTAAAAATAACAGTTTGATAGCAGCTTCCCTTTTATCCTGGTTCGTTGCTGGGATTTACCGGGAAACTTAAATAAGCGTGTCGTTATATAAATTACTAGCCCGTGAAAGCAGTAATCTATCCTATACTTAAATCGTGACATCTATGTTACCATTGATGTTAACGAATACCTAATATCGATGACAAAACATCGAAAAATGAGCGTTCAACATCGATGTTTCTCAATCATCGCGCATCCCTACTGTGATTGGGTTAAATTATTGGACAAATATATTCATTATTGGTTCAATGGTCCTGAACGCCCTTTAATCAGTAAAATAACTATTGGTAAATATCAATAAATATATATCACACATTGAGCCTTACTCCAGTGCATTTTTTGTGCGTTTTTACAAATGCAGATAATTAATTCTGATAACGAGAGTGAAGACGTTTCTGAATATTCGGAGAGTGATTTTTAGTTTTTTATTGTTTGGAGTTTTCCTTACATAGAAAAAATATTTTTGTACTTTTTTAAAAAAATGTCCTTTTTACTTTAATAATTGAATATTATAAAATAGGTTGATTAACAAACCTTTCTAAAAGAAATATATTAATGTTTTATTATCTTATAAATAATAAATAATTAATTTTTTATTTTACGTTTTTTATATTTATTTTCACTTTTATTGAGATTTTAAATTACATTTTTAGATGACAGCATGAAATTTCAATAATATATTTTTTCTTCAAACGTCAAATAATGATGACATTACTTATCTAACTCGATCCTGTCAAAGTTTGATGTCTCCGCCGGCAGCAGTTTTTTTTCCCATTTCTTTACGGCGCGGCGCGGCGCGGCGGAGGGAAAAATGTTGTCATGGCAACAATATGAAACATGTCACAAAGCAACAATACAAATGTCATGAACAACAATTAAACATCATTTTTATTTATAGTAATATTAAAAGTACAATTAGTTAATGAGGCATTTTCAAAATTGAAACCGTGCAAAAATGTTCCCGACTCTTGATACGCATAGGTAATTGTTGATGATACTGATGGTCGAGAACAACTTTTAGCAATCATTCCCGATGTTGGCAAATCATGAGGGTTTAAAATTTTTTGAGCATTATCGTTCTTATCGGACTTGGAGGGCCCCAAACGTGCTACTGCATCATTAGCCGCGGACTC